CCCTCCCCTCCCCTTCCCTTCCCCCCCCCTCCCCTGTCTGCAGCTATCCCTTCCTCTCAACCCACCACCATCCTATTTTTAACCTTCATTTTGGTTGCTTCTGCTAGAAGGATGGAGAGTAAAAAGTGTGTGTACTTTTCTCAATGGGGCACATTTTTTAAAAGAGGCAATTAACTTTAATTAATAGTTTTTCAATTTTTTTTTACCTGCCCTTGCTCTTTTTTTACAGAATGGCTTCTGGCCGGTACTTATATATGTTTCTCATATATGTACAGAGACAGGGAAAGAGACGATGCCCAGGATTGGTTTCAGCTGGAATAGGCAACCCTAAATTGATATGGTAAGGAAACTGGGCATACAATGTATGTATATGCTTATCTTTTCCTTTCCTATTTATGCATCCTAGATTCAGGGTCTTCCTTTTGCATAAATATGGTCTCTTCGTTGCCTTGCACAGAACTGAAGGGCATGATGTCCATGATGTTCTATACAACTGTTGTGCTTGGAGTGAAAAGAACTGTGCTCAAAGGTTTGGGATATATATGCAATTATCCTACTCAACTGAGAAGGCTAGGATAGCTTTCTTTAAACAGATTTTTTTTTCCAAAGAGAGGTAATATTTTTTTTAATCCCCAAAAGTTCAGAATGATAGCTAAGGTTAGTATATATGCCATCTCCCCATGTCTCCATTTAGTCTTTCCAACCCACTCAATAACTACAATTCTTCAGGGGATTACTAATACTCAAATAGTGGGGCATATTTGAAAAATTGTACCAAAGTAAAAACAGCTTAAAGTATTTTATAGACGAGAAAGAGAAAGAGAAAGAGAAAGAGAAAGAGAAAGAGAAAGAGAAAGAGAAAGAGAAAGAGAAAGAGAAAGAGAAAGAGAAAGAGAAAGAGAAAGAGAAAGAGAAAGAGAGAGAAAATAACAGCAAACAGGCAATTTGCAGACGAATTCTAAGATGTATGACTCAACACTGATAGTAATTTTTTCATCTGTCCCTAAACTGTAGTATACCGGGTATGAGACTGCATAAGCTTGTCTTGATACCAAACAGACTGGCAACTTTTCTCTGCATATGTGGTCTGAGATATACACACCAAATGAAGGAAAAGCCTTAATTTCCCACAACAAAAGGTCAATTCTATCAGTGAAAAGCCAATTAAATGCAGGGCTTGAAGCTTAGTAATGTTTGTTACTATGGGTCCAACCACATAAGAAGTTAACTTTAAGACTGCCTTTTCCAGATCTGAACAATAGAGACAGCTGGAGTATCTACCAGATGTTTCTTAATTGTTTACATATAAGCATCATGTTATGAAGAAGGTTTTTGCAACTACAGACAGAAGGGCTATAAGAGAATACCATAGACAACATGGCTTTCTGGAACAGAATTAACTCCACACAGTCTGATGACCCCTCTAGTAAGACACAATGGGAGGATCAGAAGGCATTATTCAGTTTTAACTGGTATAAGAATTTGGATACTGTAGCCATAGCACTGATTGATGAAAGTCATGATGGCAGTGGAGGTCACCACCTATCCGTTGATGACCTTGGCATATAGAGGATTGTGACTTGGAATGTAAAAAGAGAAAATGGTAAACACTACAAATTAATGAAATGAGGGAGGAAGGAAGGAAGGAAGGAAGGAAGGAAGGAAGGAAGGAAGGAAGGAAGGCAGGAAGGAAGGAAGGAAGGAAGGCAGGAAGGAAGGAAGGAAGGAAGGCAGGAAGGAAGGAAGGAAGGAAGGCAGGAAGGAAGGAAGGAAGGAAGGCAGGAAGGAAGGAAGGAAGGAAGGCAGGAAGGAAGGAAGGAAGGAAGGCAGGAAGGAAGGAAGGAAGGAAGGAAGGAAGGAAGGAAGGAAGGAAGGAAGGAAGGGAAATAGATATGCTGTATGCCTGTGAAACTAAGAGAAAGGCCAAATAGGTAATAAATCTGGATGAAGGAGATCAGATTTTGTTCACTGGAATTGATGAATACAGGGAAGTGAAGCTGCAGGCTTAATTAGAAATGAGAGGGCTAGATTATATGCCAGAAAGTGAACGGCAATCATCTTGGTTATTGTGGATGCATATTAAAAGTAAAACTTCAGTACATGTTATGCTCCAGTGAATAGTTAGAATGGGAGAACCAGGGATGTGTTTGGGGAACAATTGTGCAATATTCTGAATGAATGTGATCCACAGGGAAAGATTAGTCTGCTAGGTGATATGAATGGATGGGTGAGAAAGAGATGAGAAAGTTCAGAAAAAGGGATTGGGCCATTCAGAAACCCAAGAATGAATGAGGATGTGACTTTTTCATGAGTATCTGCTTAGAAAAATACCTGCTTATTTCACATTACACAGTTCAGCATAAATCTATGCATACGTACATAGGGCAAAGGAATGAATATAACTATAAAAGCATAACTGATTTGATTGCTGTTTATGATGAAGGATTGAATTAG